TGGTCTCTCCCTGTCTGGAACAAAGAAAAGTGAGAAAAAAAAATTTATTAGTTCAGAGGAATCAACTATACTATATGAACTTTAGCCTCCATAACTGTAAGAGTTGATGGTACTCAGGCCCCACTACTGAATGCTCTGAAAGAGACCACAATAGAAGGTCCTAGATAAAAGTGGGAAAAAACTTCTGAAAAAATTTAAAATAATAAAAAAAAAAAGATGACATTTACTGGACTGTTCCAGCCTGGTGGAGACTACGGCCCTTAAGGCTGTAATTGAAGCCATCAACAGACAGATCTACGACATATGCCATAGAAAAAGTTCAGTAGGCAGGAAAAACTAGGAAAGAAATTGTTTTCAGGTACTGCTGAGGCAAGTATGACTCACAGAGACCCTGTGAACAACAGATCTGAACCCTGTTACATTCTGTGCCAAACTTATTGACACACTTGAGCTCATTGCTGCAGTCACTATGTCAGCTGCAGTTACTGTGCCAATCAATATAGTCGCAGGTCTTCCTCTTTCACTGACCTTCCACATTTCTAAGCATGTTATCCTTTCCCAAGCATTAGTCTCTCCTAACAACATGCCTAACGTAGTAAGACAAAGCTTTGCCATCTTTGCCTCCAAAGAATACTCTGGTTGCACTTCCTCCAGGACACACAGGCTAATCGGTACTACTATCCATCAATTTTTCTCTTGTCATCCCTATTCACTGTGCAGTTCTCAGATACACAGTAGGTGACTGGAAAGACTCTAGCTTGGACCAGACAAGTATTTATGCCATCATTGCTCTTCAAGACTTTGGAGAGGTCTCTGACAGTAGCAGACTTTCCTAATGTTCTATGTCTCCTTATCTCCTGACCTCTCGTACCAAGGGTGTTTGGATTCAAACAAGACGAGATCACTGACAGTTTCAATCCTTTCTCCATATATCATAATGATGCCTACTGGCCCCATGTTATAGGGACCTCTGGATTCATGATGTTGAGATGAATCCATATTGAAGGCTGTAGTCTTTAGTCCTCTGTAAGAAGTGTTTCAGGTCCCATTCACTTTTAGCAAGCAAGGCTGTGTCATCAGCATAATGTAGGCTGTTGATGAGCATCTTTCTCTGATCCTTATGCCACATTCCTCTTCTTAGAGCCTAGCTTCACAAATTAATTGCTCAGCATAGGCAGAATACGTATGGAGAAAGGATACAGACCTGATGCACACCTTTTTTTTTATTTTAAAACATGCAGTGTTGGAAACAGGAAACACAGATAGGATACGGAAAGGTAACTGTAATAATGTGGAGTTTGTAACTAACATCCTGAAATATGCTTTGTATGAATTGTTTAAAAGAAAGCCAATTTGCTTTGTAAACTTCCTCTGAAATCATAATGTTGTTGTTGATTGCCATTAGGTTGAGCAAAACTCAAAGTGACTCTATGAACAAAAGATCGGAAGTCTTTCTATAACTATCATTTCTCAAAGTTCATAGAGTTTCCAGAGGCATAAAAAGGTTTAAAAGGACAAAAACTCACAAAATAGTGAAAATTTTGTAAAGTTACGATTAATCTGTAACACATGAATAAAATCCTCAACATCCTGCATGATCAGGAAACAGACACTAAAACTATAAAAAGATACTGTTACACTTACCAAAATCGATAAAACGAAACATCATCACATTTTGAAGAGGCTATGAAACATTTTTTAAAAGGTCAACCAAAAGGAATATCCTCTTTTTTTACTATTATTATTAATTTCAATGAAAATGTACAGAGACTTTGGATTTCCACTCATTCATTGTTGCATTTTCCCCCCTCCCAATCCTCACCCCCAGTACACGCTTTTCTTTGAAAAGTAAAAGAAAACTTATTTCATTGTTTTACAATCCCACCCCCCAGGTCCACTCCACTATGCATCCTTCATTCTGGACTCCTGTCATGACAATAATACCTAATCATATATTCCTTTTAAACAGTTTTCGCCTTCATCTGTTTCAATACAGTATACATTATTTATCCCATCTTTTTCAGTCTCTCCCAACCCCAATGTCAGTCCTGCTTTACAACATGGCACCACACAGTATTTGTCCCTTTGTGACTGAGATATTTCACTCAGCATAATCTCCTCCAGCGTCACCCATTTTAAACAATACTGCGTGAATTCCTTGTATTTCAATGCAGCATAGTATTCCATTGTGTGTATACCAGAGCTTCTCTATCCATTTGTTTGTTGATGGGCACTTAGCCCGTTTCCAACTCCTTGTTATGGCAAACAAAGCCACGATAAACATGGGTATGCATATATCTGCTTGGGTGGCAGTTATGGTCTCTTTGAGGTATATTCCCAGTAGTGAAATTGCTGGGTCAAATGGTATCTCTATTTGCAACTTTTTGAGAAAGCGCCATAAGCCCTTCCACAGTGGTTGCACCACTTTACACTTCCACCAAGAGTGAATAAGGTTTCCAGTTTCACCACAACCTCACCAGCATTTGTTGCTTGCTGTTCTATTAAATTCTGCTGTTCTTACTGCGGTGAGATGGTATCTCATAGTTGTTTTGATTTGCATCTCTCTTAGAGCTAGGGATTTCGAACATTTCTTCATAAGCTTGTTTGCCATCTGAATGTCATCTTCAGTGAAGTGTCTGTTCATATCCTGTGCCCATTTTTCAACTGGATTATTTACCTTTATCTTATTGTGGTGCTCAAGTATTTTACACATTATAGATATAAGTCCCTTATCTGACATGTCATTACCAAATACTTTTTCCCAGTCTGTGGCTTCCCTTTTTATCCTGTTGGAGAAGTTTTTGGATGTGCATACGGATTTGATTCTTAGAAGGTCCCATTCATCTATTTTATCTTCTCCTAGTTGGAGGTGGAATATCCTCTTTGAAGAAGAGTTTTTTCAAAATATTCTGCCCAATTATGCAACTGGATTTTTTTGCCACCTTATTTTTGAGGTGCTAGTCTATAGATTCTGGATGAGTCCCCTAGAGAATATGTCATTACCAAATATTTTCTCCCAGTCTGTGGGCCTCTTTTTCACCCTACTGGATACATAAAAGGAGTTGAATTTTGATCCACAGAAGGATTTGATTTTTAGAAGGTCTTATTTATCTACTTTACGCTCTCCTGATTGTGGACTCTTGTTAAGGTGAAAGTCTGTTCATGTAATGTATTAGGGTTTTTCCAATTTGTTCCTTATCTTCTCACCATTCATCTTTACAGGTTTTGTTTTTACCCCTTGAGTTTGATTTTGTGTGGTATGAGATATGGGTCGTGTTTCAGTTTTCTGCAAATGCATGTCCAATTCTGCCAGCACCACTTATTAAAAAGCCTGTCCTTTCCCAACTTAATGGATTTATCTCTTTGTGAAAGATCAGTTCACCATGGATATATGCACTGATTCTGGATTTTCTACTCTATTCCACTGGTCTATGTGTCTGTCTCAGTACCAGGACCATGCTGTTTTGATTACTATAGCTGAGTTGTTGTTGTTTTTTGTTTTTTTAAAAACACCTTTATTTTTATTATTCTCTGTGTGTGTACCATCAAATCAGATCTGACTGGTACAGGAGCGGCTTGTCCCTCCTTCTCCAGCAGAGCATCTGATGGAGTCAAACCACTTATCTCTGGGACTGCAGTGCATCTTCTTGCCACTAGGCCACCAGGGCTTGCCGAGTTGTAGTTTTTGAGATCAGGGTCATATACTCCTCCTACTTTTTCTTTTTCAGCTGAGCTTTGCTTATTTGAGGTTTCTTTCCTTTCCAGATTTGACATTTAGAACTTGCCTTTTCAATCTCCACGAACAGTGTCAGTACCAGTACTGGGATTGTGTTCAATACATGTATATCTTTTGGAAGAACTGTCATTCTCACAAAATTTAATCTTCTTATCCACAGGGTATATGTTGTTGTTGTTGTTGAGCACCAATGAGTCAGAATTGAACCTTAGCTGACCTTTCAGCAGGGTTTTAGAGGCAGTTAACTGCATGGGAGGAACTGCCCATCCTTGTCCTGTAGAGCAGCTGGTGGATTTAAGACAGGTATGTTTGGGACTGCCGCACAGCATCTTACTGGGAGACCACCAGAGTCTCCTGATGATGACTAGTAGAGATTTTAATTAATTATGAATCAATATTAAAAAATGTGTCACTGAGTGTGTGATAGATAGTTCCTCTTTTGTCACAGTGGATCTTACTCATCTCAACTGTTTTTTTGATAACCACTGAAACTTCAGGAGTAAACAAAATATACCATAAAATATTACCTCTTGAATGATCCAATTACAACTCATTCTAATGCTTCTACATTAGAATGAGATGAATTCTACAGTTTATATTAACCTGTGAAGACCCTCCATAAATTCAACTAATTTCTTACTTGGAACTAGCAGAGGGTGCTAAATAGGCAACTTTATCCACTTTTAACAATCTCAATGGCAGGGGAAGGGGAAGTCCATGATTAAAAAATCCAGTACAAACAGAAAGAACATTTGCTTGAAAGGAAACAGAACTGAGAAGTTCTGTCTCTTTTGTGAAAATCTGAATTTTAGTTTCCTAGGGTCACTATGAGTCACAAACAACTTGACAGCACGTAACAACAACAACAACAGGTATGCAATGGATTTGTGCTAGCTATATTTAATGGTTAAATTAAAAGAGTATACCATTTTATTTAAAGTGCTCAATACAAGGAAGCTATGTTCAAAAATTCAGAGTTCAAACAAAAAGAGAAACAAAATATTTCCATTTTCATCATCTTCTACCTAGTATTAATATTGAAAGTTAGAGACAAATTATACTCTAAATGCAGAAGAAAACTTAAAACACTTCATTCAAGACCAAAATAATAAAACTAATTTAAAAGCACCATGATTACCCTATAGATTTACTTCTAATTTTATAGAATGAGAATTTATAAGGTTGCTTATCAGCAAAGTAGTACACAGAAAGATCTAATATATAACATGCACCTTATGAGTGAATCAATAATGAAGTGCCTTACCTAATCAAAACAGAGTCTCTGGTATAGCCACCATCATATTCTGTAGTTTCTTCGAGTGCTTGAAAATCTAGATTCTGCAAATAAAAGAAATATCTTCAGTATCATTTATACCATAACTTTATAAATAAAATCAACACGTAATTTTTTTTGAGCCATTTGTCTTCTTACCCGGCTTCCACAAATAAGCAATTCAATTTCCTCAGGTCTGAATAAGTACTTTAAGGGAGATTCATTGGTCACCATATGAAAACCTCTTCGAAAGGCCTTGAATTGCTTTTCTACTGATTTATTGAGAATGTAGTCAGAATAGAGACTGATAAATTCCTGCAGAAAACATTAGCACAAGAATTTCTTATAATATATAACAAAAGAGAGTAAGCTTTTGGGCTGCACAGCTTTCTTATTTTCCCCAGTGTAAATATAGGTTGTTTTTTTTAATATAAGGTATTTATAAAAATTCAAAATTTTACTCTCAAAGGAAAATAATTTTTATAATTAACAGTGCCCCATGATAGCCTATATTAAACTTTAAAAGCTATGTAAATTCTGATTGCATATTAAATAGGATACTATAAGCTGTACATCTTATATCAGTACAACTTTTAGGTTCATGTGCAAGATAGAAACATTTAAACCATCTATGTACCTTTCTTTTATATTTAGTTAAGCCAGTCTATTTATAAAAGTCAACATCTTAAAATGTACAGGTTTTGTGCAAACTTGGAACTCTCATGTTTTCTATCATAAAATATTGAGAAGTTACTTCAGTAAAAAAGTTGGCACCTTGAGATATAAGCTACTCTCTCAAATCATAGCCACCAGAAAACATACACTTTATTAATACTTTTGAGAACTAGATTAAGTGTTGTATGAAGGGAGAGAAGGTTAGCACTCCCCTTGATAAGGATGGAAGAGGTCCTTGGGTCTTACAACATGCATATGGCTAAGGCTACTTTATGGCATCTAACCAGCGATTTTAGGTGGGAGAGCACTATGCTGAGTGAACTAACGCAGTCTCATAAGGACAAATACTATGTAAGACTACTATTATAAAAATAGAAGGATAACTAGTAAAGAATGTACAGGCACACAAAGGGGGGAGGGGCAAGCAGAGCGTGAAGGATAGGTAAGGGTGAAACCACAGGACTGCACAGTTTGGTGGAGGCAGGGGAAGTACAAATGCAAAGGATCTTAGCAAAATGAGCAATGATGAGCAAGGTCCAATCCAATGGTGACTGATTTTATAAAACATAATGCTTTGGCTAGGTTGGCACAGGATAGAGCAGGGTTTAGGGCTGTTGTACATAGATAGGGTCGCTATGAGTTGCAAGCGACTCGACGGCACATAACAACAACAACAACAACAACAACAACTCTATGTTCTAGATGAGGTCTAATACCCAACGATGTGCACAAGACTGGATACTTACCTCCAGCACAGCTGTTGTTAAGTGCTGTCGAGTCTAGTATGACACATAATGAACTCGGAAACAAAAGATCGGAACCCTGTTCTATCCTTTTACATCTTCTTACTTGCTGACATGCAAGAACCCACTGTGGCGGTAACCACTTCAGTTTACCTGGCTGAGGGTCCAGCAGCGTATTCACTCAATACTCCACAGTGAAAATTCTATCTACTTCTCAGTCATAGAATTCTTTATCTTCTCTATGTTTACCTAGCACAATGTCTGGTCCATAACAAGGTGCCCATCAACAAACAAATGGATAGAGAAGCTCTGGTATACACACAATGGAAAACTATGCTGCATTGAAATACAAAGAACTCATGCAATATTGTTTAAAATGGGTGACCCTAGAGGAAATTATGCTGAGTGAAATATCTCAGTCACAAAGGGACAAATACTGCGTGGTGCCATGTTGTAAAACAGGACTGACATTGGGGTTTGGGAAGACTGAAAAAGATGGGATAAATAATGTATATTGCAATGAAACAGATGAAGGAGAAAACTGTTTAAAAGGAATATGTGATTAGGTATTATTGTCATGATGGGAGTCCAGAATGAAGGATGCATAGTGGAGTGGACCTGGGTGGAGGGATTGTAAAACAATGAAATAAGTTTTCTTTTACTTTTCAAAGAGAAGAGTGTACTGGGGGGAAGGGGTGGGCAGGAAGAAAAGTGCAACAATGAATGAATGGAAATCCAAAGTCCCTGTAAATTTTCATTAAAATGAATAAAAAATTATAAAAAAAGAATGACGGTATAAAATACAATGGGAATGAAGAATACTGTGAAACACAATGCATAAAAGTTATAAGCAAACCATTTAAAATAATGTAAAATATAATGTATATGAATAATTGGACTGCCAAGAAAGCAAATAGATTCATCCTAGAGAGAGTTAAACCAGGCTGCTCCTTGGAGGCAAGGATTCTGGGGCTTTGCCTGACATACTTTGGACATGTTGTAAGGAGAGACAGGTCTTTGGAGAGGGACATCATGCTGGACAGAGTGGAGGGACGGCGCAGGAGGGGAAGACTCTCTACGAGGTGGATTGATTCAGTGACTGGGGTAATCGGGATGGATGTGTCAGGGGCAATGAGATTGGCACAGGATAGAGCAGGGTTTAGGGCTGTTGTACATAGATAGGGTCGCTATGAGTTGCAAGCGACTCGACGGCACATAACAACAACAACAACAATTGTATGAAACACAATGTAAATAAAAGATTATATAAAACATACTGTATATGACAAAACATAATGTAAAGGAATTATTATATGAAAATATTTTAAAAAACCAAAACTCCCAAAACAAAAAACTGCGAGAGGAAAAAAGAGAAATATATTTATGTCACAAAGGGATATATACGTATGGTGATTAAATATAATTATCATTTGTTCAGGGAAACATAAGGACCATAATGTTGCAGTCAGGTGCTACCAAGTCAAATATGACTCATAGTGATCCTACGAACATCCAACCTGAACCCTGTCTTATCCTGTGCTATCCTCACAATCTCCGACACATTCAGGCCCATTGCTGTAATCTTTTCAACCCACCTTGTTTAAGAGTCTTCCTCTCCTCTATCTCTACATCCTAAAATGTGAAACATCTTGCTTCTTATTTCCATTGCAACAACACTAACCTGTTTACATCTTCTACTCTATGTTCTTTGAAGGAAATACCAAAAAATAAGGCCCCAGGAATAGATGGTATACCAATTGACATATTTCAGCTAACAGATGCTGCCCTGGATGTGCTCACCAAGTTGTGCCAAGAAATCTGGAGAACAACCACTTGGCCAACTGACTGGAAGAGATCTATCTATATTTGCTCCCATTCCGAAGAAGGGTGACCCAACAGAGTGTGGAAACTACAGAACAATATCATTGATTTCACATGCAAGCAAGATTCTACTGAAGATTACCCAAAAATGACTGGAACAGCACATCAGCAGAGAACTGCCAGAAGTCCAGGCTGGGTTTAGAAGGGGTCGTGGTACTAGGGATATTGTAGCTGATGTTAGATGGATCTTAGCTGAAAGCAGGGAATACAAGAAGAATGTCTATTTGTGTTTCATTGATTATAACAAACTATGGCTGACTCTGAGAAGAGTGGGAATCCCAGAACACCTGATCATGCTAATGAGAAACCTATACTTGGACCAAGAGGCAGTTGTCAGAACAGAGCAAGGAAACACTGCATGGTTCAAAATTGGAAAAGGCGTACGCCAGGAATGTGTCCTATCTCTATACCTTTTCAACCTGTATGCAGAACAGATTATCCGAGAGGCTGGGCTCTATGAGGATTGGTGGAAGATCTACTAACAATCTGCGTTATGCAGATGACACAACCCTGCTTGCTGAAACTGAGGAGGACCTGAAATGCTTGCTCCAGAGGGTCAAGGACTGCAGCCTTCAGTATGGATTGAAGCTCAATGTTAAGGAGACAAAGATTCTCACCACTGGACCAACTGGCATTATCAGGATGGATGGTGAAGAGATTGAGATTGTTAACAACTTTAGTCAGCTTGGCTCCATGGTCAACACTCGTGGCACCAGTAGCCAGGAAATCAAAAAACGTATTCCGATGGGAAAGTCTGCTTTCAGGGACCCCTCCAGGGTACTGAAGAGCAATGGTATCACTCTGGAGACTAAGGTGTGTCTGATAGAGGCTATGGTCTTTGCAATCACTTGTTATGCATCAGAGAGTTGGACAATGACGAAGGAGGATAGAAGGAGAATTGATGCCTTTAAGCTGTGGTGCTGGAGAAGAGTACTGAATGTACCCTGGACTGCCATGAAAACAAGCAGATTTATCCTAGAGAGGGTTAAATCAGGCTGCTCCTTGGAGGCAAGGATTCTGAGGCTTTGTCTGACATACTCTGGACATGTTGTAAAGAGGTACAGGTCCTTGGAGAGGGACATCATGCTTGGGAGGGTGGAGGATCGGCGCAGAAGGGGAAGACCCTCTATGAGGTGGATTGATTCAGTGACTGGGGTAATCGGGATAGCCGTTTCAGAGGCAGTGAGATTGGCACAGGATAGAGCAGGGTTTAGGGCTGTTGTACACAGGGTTGCTATGAGTCGCAAACGGCTCGAAAGTACATAACAACAACAACAACAACAACAACAACTCTATGTTCTAGATGAGGTCTAATACCCAACGATGTGCACAAGACTGGATACTTACCTCCAGCACAGCTGTTGTTAAGTGCTGTCGAGTCTAGTATGACACATAATGAACTCGGAAACAAAAGATCGGAACCCTGTTCTATCCTTTTACATCTTCTTACTTGCTGACATGCAAGAACCCACTGTGGCGGTAACCACTTCAGTTTACCTGGCTGAGGGTCCAGCAGCGTATTCACTCAATACTCCACAGTGAAAATTCTATCTACTTCTCAGTCATAGAATTCTTTATCTTCTCTATGTTTACCTAGCACAATGTCTGGTCCATAACAAGCTCATAAGACATATACATAAAAAGATTTAATAAGGAGCCATTTGGGATATAACACGTCATCATATTAAGTCAGCTACATTAAAAATACCAAAACCTTCCAAACTAAGCAGATGTTTACAAAAAGACCTAGTTACAAATGCTCTTTTGTTCCATGACTGGTTTATTTTTGCAACTTCCCAAGTTCAACTCCCACTAAAAGGTATGTCTAAGGGGAAATGTCCTCTTTGTAGTTTTTTCCCGTTATCCTTTTTCTCCGTGTAACAAAAGCATCCAGATAGGATTTTTTAATAACATTTAATGACACCTGCAAAGTAACTGTTCTCAACAGGAGATGAGGTACTGTGACTTTATGTAAGAATATTTTCTCATTCTGTGAGGTAGATTTTAGAAAATAAAATTGTGCTTTCTTAGCAAGATCTGTTAAAGATAAAAGTTCTACACCTGATGGAAATCCGATTACTTCCATTTCTCTTAATCTAAGGATTTTAAAAATTTTATTTCCAAACCTTTTGAGATTAAAAGAAAAATTTTCACTACTTTCAAGTCAATTCCAGCTCATGCTGACCCTTATACTGGGTCCTTGAGGCTGTGAATCTTACAGGGAGTAGATGACCTAATCCATCTCTATCAGAGTGGCTAGGAGGTTTGAATTGCTAAGCTTTTTGTTGGCAGCCCAACACACTATGCCACCAAAGCCCCCAACTGAAAGAAAAAGTGAAAAGAAAAGGAAAAAATAAAAATGTACTTTATACATTATAATAACGAGAACTAAACCAGCATAATCTTACAGAATGATGGAAATATTTGTTACCCTTTTGTGTACTTCCTAAATTATTCACTTGGGGAAAATGGACTTTTATCTATTTTATCCAAAGTCTTTTTCCACAGAGAGGAAAAAAAAAACAACCCATTCATGAAAGTTATACTAAGAAATTCTCGAATACTACTGTAACATTACTGTAACTTTAAAAAAACCCTGTAATCAAAGTTTAAAACATTTAAGAAAATGTGGTTATATCATTTATTTGAACTTGGTTACCTGATCTTGGCTTCTGGTACACATTACTGGTAACTTAAAAATTTAAGACATGCATGCTTTGAAATTCTGTTGATAAAGACACAGAAACAATAAATAATTATTACCTTTCTGTTTTCATTTGTAATTGGAATTTTATCACCATTTTCCTTTAGATCATACATCATTGGATTACCAAAAAGATCTGTCTGAGATATCTGGAAAGTGATCATCATATCGTCTTCTACATTTCCTTCATACGCCAATAAATCTTTTAAACTCTGATATAGAACCTAACAAACAATCAGAAAAGGAAAATTGAAGCTACCAAATAAAAAGTATATATAAAATAAAATATAAATATACAATAGTGTCTCTTTCTGTGGAAGACAGTAATTTCTGATCATAAGAATTAAACAAAGGTAGCATACCTCCCATACTTCAAATATTTTAAAACTTAGAAGCTAAAGAAAAATTGTCATTCATTGACATTATATCCCATTCTTTACTAACTTCATATTACATCCTTAGCAATGAACTTTCTACTGCCCCCATGAAAGCCTCAAAGGAGTCTCAGCTTTATAGAGGTGGCAGGAAGAAATGGATATACACCATAGCCACCAAGTTCTTAAGTCAGGGCAGATCTGGCAGTCATATATATACACACACAATACATACATGTACATTATATATTTATGTATACATATATATCTCCTTTTCGGATTTTGAATGTTCATGTTATATCATTGATTAAAGCAACTTTATTACACACTGGGCATATAAACAAATGCCACCTCCCCTTCTTGAAATTTAAACTGTATTTTTATATTTCATAAAATCCAAGAGACTGGCTGAAAAAAAGAGAGAACTTACTGGGTGAGAGTCTCCCAAGTCACGAAAAGTTCCTTTTTTCCCCATTAGTTTCCTGTAGACAACCATGGGAAAATGGACATCCAATATACAGTTATTATAAATAGCCAAGCCTAGGACTATGCCAATCAGAGTAAATTGACCCTCCGTTTCAAAGGAAGATGGATTAAACCAAAATAATTTTGTTGATTCATCATATGTGAACATACCTGTAAGAAATTATTTTTTAAAAATATTACTTTTGTATTATTTAATAGAACAGATTGACAACACAAAAACAAAAATTTGAATTTTTTTCATGTAAAACTGGTATGTACTAGTTGTATAAAAATCACTATCTTATGGTAGTGTATATATATGTTCTAAATTATGGCAATGGTAGCATATAATTTCAAGAAGTCAAAGGAACTTTTCCTTTTATCAAAACTGTAGTGGTACAATGACATTTTTAAGCTCCTTTCTACTAAGATTAGATGGCATGAATAGATAAACTTAAGTCCAAATCCCAAAGCTACTTTACATATAAATTATGAACTAACATAGTCAACTCGACTGCAAAAAACAACATGTAAAACAAAAGCTTTCTTTAATGGTCTCTACTATTCCAAACCTAAACATGAAGACCATTTTGATATTATCTGTTGTTGTTAGCTACAACCAAGTTGGCAACTGGCAATTTAACCCTATTGGGTTAACATGTTCCATCATTATTTTATTGCTATTACCTTTTTTTTTAATAAAACTTATTTTAATCATGATTTTAACGATAGTTTACAGAAAAGTTAGATTTTCATTCATTCATTGTTGCACATTTTACATACTCTTCCCCCCTTCCCCCTTTAACTATGATCTTTATGGAAACAACTGACCAGTCCTCTCATCTAGACTCCTGGAAGTGATTGTACAGGCAACCTGAAGAATATTAGTGAACTACAAACTACTTGTGCAACCCAATCTCTTCATTCATTAGAGGATAAGAATGTTTGGTTTTACCTATATGAATGGTCAATACTAACACAGCATTACTGTATTACCTTTAAATAAATGTCATAAGGAAAAAGAGAAGGAAATATTTTAACGGAATTTATAATTTTTCATTTTACTAAAATATTTTCACTTGCTTTAAATGCAGTAGAAATGCTGTTAAGATTTAGGTCTTATAAAACAAACAAAAACCCAAACCAAAACCTGTACTTTTCAAGAGAAATAAAATAAAATATAACTATATTTTAAATTTTTTGTGACTCAAGGAAACCGCATTTTTAGACCCTCAACCTTCTTGGGAAACTGCTATTCTAGCTGCAGTACATACCACCACCTAGGCAAAACTATACGTAACTGTGTAAATATGAAGAAATGAGATTCACTCCATCAATTCTATTGCCAGCAGCTACTTAGAACATATGTGTCCCATATAATTGTTATAAAACTAAGATAACCTTAACAAAAAAGGGCATATTTCCCACCTTTGATTTCATTACTGAAAACACATGGTGCCAAGAAAATATTTGAAGCAGAAAATAAGTCAGTCATGAAAGGGCGAAAATCACTTTACTAAACTTTAAGAATGTTCCTTCATTTTAAACACTTTAAGTGAGCATAAACTTTGCAATTAAAAAAAAAATTAATCTTCCTGAAAACAATGACTTTGAAATGATCTACTTTTTTTCTCAACTTTCATAGTTTAGGGCTAAAATGCTTTTGCAATTCTAAGCTGTTGTTATATTATGTGTTATCTAGTTGGAAGAGACTCATAGCTGACTCTCTAGAGGGTTTTCAGAGACTGTAAATCACATGGCAAGAGACTGCTCATCTTTCTCTCTCAGAGCCACCAGTGAATTCAAATCACCTGCCTTTGTGTTGGCAACATAAGTCCTTATAACTAGGCCACCAGAGTGCTCAAGTTATAACATGGATATAATGGTGGGGGGGGAAATTACATGGATGACTTTTTTAAAAACTTCAATTACTTACAAACATTAAATTACAGCTCAGAACAGTTGGTAAGTTTTATAGTTAATTAATTAATAAATGTGATAAAATCTCACAAATGTATGTACTTTTTACACTTAAGAGCAATAAAGTATAAATTAATCAGAATATATTCATTATATAGTAACACAGCTAAGAACAGTTTGTCAGTAGTACCAGCAAGTTTGTGAGTTAATTATGAAATCTGATGAGACCTCACAAATGTACATCCTTGGTCTTAGGAACAATGAAATATAAATTAAACAGAATGTATCTGTATATAAAAGAAAATAATACTTGAGTCCAGAGTAATTTCATTTCAGATTTCCTAAAATATTCCTTTTTAATATTTCTGCCATCAGGTAAATTATCTTTCTTTCTTATCACTTTAAATACACTAGTATGGTTTTATTCCCTAAATGTATTTCTGCATAGATACATTCCTAAGACAAAGCAGAAGTTTGGTAAAGTTTTATAACTAAACTAAGGCAAGAAAGTTACATACTTGAGTGTCATTTTGTAATTATTTTTTTACACAGCTTAATGATTATTAATAGGTTCGTGACTATTATTAGCGAGAAGATAAAAGACAACCTCGCCTTAATGATATTTTGTCGTAAACTCAGTTTTCGCTTCTGTTTAAATATACCGATATTTAGCTGACCAAGAACAACCAGAAAGGGAAATTAATGCATATATTGAAAAAATGGGATATTAATAATTCCTCTCAAAGCTTAAGGAAAATGATCAACACTTTGTGTCATGTTCCTTACAGTTCAGATGGTACTCTTAGTAGAAATATTTTCCTATAATGTTTCCCTACAATCATACTCAATTTTATAAACAAGTCAGCCAAGTATCTAAGCGGTAAAAATACAGAAATTGAGCCAAGTTGAGCTGAACCAGGTAAGCAGACTCTCCAAGGTACTGTGCATCTTTCCTTTTCCATTTTGCTTATTGTTGTGTGTCAAAATGGAAACTGAATTCCTTCCCTTTTAGACTTAAGTATGTAGATCAATCTTTCCAAAATGTGTTCACTTAAAATTCTTGAAGGATACAGATCTTAAGTGTGAGGTGAATAAGGGACTCTTCAGTGTTCAAAACATTTGGGAGAAATATTCTAAAGCCACAAAAAACTCTGCAGCAAATAAAACTAATTAAGTTGACACTGTTTAGTATTTCTGAACTTGAGCATGAATACAATTCTGAAACTTTCTCAACGTTCTTCAGATCTGTGCTATACAAAGCTGTACTTTTAGAAATATCACTTTAATGAATGTTTTAGATTACTAGGAACATAAGTTACTTTTAATTTACCTAATGTACTAAAAATATTCTCAATTTAAGAAATAATTTCTGTATTAAGCTATGACTAAATAAATAAGAATGTAAATAAGTGAATGATGTAAATCAGTTCCTAAAATCCACATTATTTTGTCATTATCTATGATTCTAGATATGCATACCAAACTTTCTTTTGTTATTCCTCTCAAGTAAGAATGTTGATTAACAAAGGTAAACAAAGTTTTAATTAAAAAAAGATTATTTAATACCATAATCACATTGCTAAAATATTTACCAATATCTGGATTGAAGATTTCCTCCACAACCAGCTGAAAAAATTCTTTGGAAACACCTCCTTCATCAACTCCTTGTTCTCCTTCAAATTCCACATACAACTGTTTCTTTAAGTCTGCAGGATTTTCCATAGCGATCATCTCTAGCTAGTGAGTCAGTGAAGAGATAAATGTGTAAAAGTGACTAGCAATATTAGGATAAAAGGAAAACAAATAAAACCAAAATAAAGATAGAGAACAGGGAGTAAAATAGGAGATTTTTTTTACTTTTGTTTTTCAATAGAAATAGGTACCAAACTGATAAAAAGCCAATGTGAGGTTAACAAGGGACATAGTTAGTTCTCAAAAACAAATGCTATTATCTAAATGACTTTAACACTTTGGTGGGCTAGTTTTTAGGGACTTGTGCTGTCAACTGCTAAGTGGGTGGTCTGAATCCACGAGGTGCTCTTCTGGAGAAAGATGGGCAATCTCTTCCAGTGAGATTTATAGCCTCTGAAAACTTGCTGGAGGGTAAGCTATTATGGTGTTCCAATATGAAAGGCAATGAGTTTGAGGGTGATTTATTTCAGTAACATGTGCATTATTTAATGTAATTTTTAATATTCCATATGCAATAATTTTGTAATAATCTGTACACCTTTAAGGTTCTTGTTTGTAAATGTTCATGCTTGGTAAGTAGGGTTTGCTTTAAACTGCCAAGGGCATTTGGAGCCAATGCAGAAAAGAAAATGTATACTCTTTTGAGATTATTGTTAGTATATTTCAGATAAATAAAATAACAATTTATAGTCTAAACATAAACAGTAGAATCTGTTGTCAATTTTATAAACAAGAGTACCGAAAAATCTCAAACTGATTGATACAGATCACTATGTATATTGATCTGTTAATAGATTTAAGAAAACGGGTACTAGAGTCCCAGATACTAGGATTTAATATCTGTTAAAAGAAGTTAGGGGTATAGATTAAATCAAGTCACTGTGTGACCTGCTTTCAAAAAAATTAGTTCTAATCAATTTTTAAAAAGTGTAATTTATATCAAACACTACTAAGATAGATCAGTATTTTGCAAATGGAAGCTTATCAGCAGGTAGTCTAAAGTATTTCCTGATTTGCAGAAAACACAATGGGAAACTACTGGAATATTCATCATAGAAACAGTGCCTATGTTTTGTTTCAACTTTACATAAAGACAGGTTGATATGTGTCCAGGAATGGTATATAAAACATTTCTTGCTAATTTCTTGCATAGTTTTAAAGTCTGTAAAACAGACTTGAATTTTGTTAAGTGAGTCAACTGAAATAACATTGTTAACTCTGGTGGCCTACTGGGTAAGAAATTGCACTGCTGATCCAATGGTGGCATTTCTCTGGCAGTGTGAATTCACCAGCTGCTCCACAAAAGAAAGATGGACAATCTCCTCCCATGAGAGTTACAGCCTCTCAAAACATCCTAAAGGGTCTATTTGAGTCAGTTCTAACTTACTGGCAATGATTAAGAGAGTAATAAAATTAGGGTTGCTACTTTTCTTTAGTTTGAAGAATTTGTTCTGATGTACAAAATAATTTGAGTAAAAATAACACTAATCTTCACTGGTTTTCCCCTAAGAAAGAATACAGGATAATGAAAACTCTTTTGTTACAAACAGAAGGCAACTGTCCTCAAGTTGACAGAGAACTGATTAGCATAAATGGAGACATGACATGCCCAAGACTACTTTACGCTAACAAAGATCCAAACAGCATCCTCTTCTTAAACATTTTCTCACTCTTGACATGGGAGAGGTAGAACAGGGAAAATTCCTATCTGTCTTCCACATATTAATATTCTATAAACTCTTGCTTTCTACACGCATCTGTGCCTGAGATTCACTTTTATGGGAAACAGCAGATCTGGAGCTCCGAGTAACAAACTGTGGTGAGTTGTACATGGGCTCGTTAAGAACTGGCCACCAAGCATTGTATGGCCTGGAAGCTCTGCTCTGTAGTCAAGTTTGCCACAGTCCTCAAGAACCTATAAGGTACAGGAAGGAGAGTAACAGTAGTAACAAGGGTGACTCAGTGACTCTTCCTTGGTCACAAAGGACTGGATCACAGAGCACTGTCTGGATAACCTGGGCTGCACCAAAATCCCTGGTTTCTAGGGCAATTAATAAACTCTGATGATGAATGCCAAGTGCAGGCAGGCAAAAGAAATCTTCGGGTAGTTCCAGGAAGATAAGGACAGCTCTAAGTAGGAAATATGGTGATCATGTGTGTGTATGCAGTTGCAACTGAATGTGTCTAACTCAAGGGACTGGAAGTAAATGAAAAAGGATGTAGCTAGGGAAAGTTATTCTCTTTTAAAACTGTTAGAGCATGGAGAAATCCTATCCACTAAGTCACCCCAAAGTTTACTTGTATTTTATTGACTATACAAAGGCATTTGCCTGTGTGGATCCCAACAAATTATAGCTAATATGAAAATGAGAATATTTGAACAATTAATTGTGCTTGCTGAAACTGAGGAGGACCTGAAGCGCTTGCTGCAGAGGGTCAAGGACTGCAGCCACCAATATGGATTGAGGCTCAATGTCAAGAAGACAAAGATTCTCACCACTGGACCAAGTGGCAGCATCAGGATGGGCTTGGCTCCACAGTCAACATTCTTGACACCAGTAACCAGGAAATTAAAAGACATTGCCATGGGAAAGTCTGTTAGGGACCTCTCCTAAGTACTGAAGAGCAATGATGTCTCTCTGGAGACTAATGTGCATCTGATACAGGCCATGGTCTTTGCTATCACTTGTTATGCATCAGAGAGTTGGACAATGACTAAGGAGGACAGAAGGAGAATGGATGCCTTTGAGCTGTGGTACTGGAGAAGAGTGTTAAGGGTACCATGGATTGCTAGGAAAACAAAGAGATTCATCCTGGAAAGGGTTAAATAGGGAGACTCCTTTGAGGCAGGGATTCTGAGACTTTGTCTAACATACTTTGGACATGTTGTAAGGAGGTATCGGTCCTTGAAGGAGGACATCATGCTTGGGGAGGGTGTGGAGGGACAGAGCAGGAGGGGAAGACCCTCTATGAGGTGGATTGATTCAGTGACTGTGGTAATCGAGATGGGTGTGTCAGAGACAGTGCTACTGGCATAGGACAGAGCAGAGTTTAGGGCTGTTGTATGTACACAGGGTCGCTATGAGTCACAAGCGACTCGACGGCACATAACAACAATTGTGTTCATGCAAAACCTATATACAGACCAAGAAGCAGTTGTCGTTATAAACATACAACAAGGAAACATCTAATACAATTTAATATCAGGCAAAGTGTGCACCAGGGCTATACTTATTCTCCATACATATTCCACCTGTATGAGGAGCAAATAATTTAAGAAGCTAGACTCCAAGAAAAAGAATGTAACATCATAGTTGGAAGAAGACTCATCAACAACTGGTATTCTGAAGGTCACTTCGTTACAGAAAGTGAAGAAAGCTTGAAGCACTTGCTAAAGATCAAACACTACAACCTAAATATGGATTATATGTCCACATCAAGAAACAAAAATCTTGGGAGGATACCACTGAACCAAGAGGCAACATCAAAGATGTAAGACTTAAGTTGTCAATGACTTAACGTTACTTGGACCCACAATCAATACTCATGGTAGCAGTTGTCATGAAATCAAAATGTGTGTTGCATTGGGAGAATCTGCTGTAAGGGACCTCTTTAAAGTGCAAAAGAGCGCTTTAAAGAGTGTTGGTTTAAAGACTAAGGTACATATGATCCAAGTCACAGTATTTTCAGTTATTTCCTATGCTTCTGAAAGTTAGACAATCAATAAGGATGACAGAAAAATAATCAATGAATGAACTGTGGTGTTGGCGATAAGTACTGAACACACACTCATGGATAGCCAAAAGAAAAATCTATCTTGGAGGAAGTGCAATGAGGGTGCTTCTTAGAGGCAGGGATAGTGAAACTTTGTATCATTTATTCTGGGTATGTTTTCAGGAGGGGTAGTTATTTGGAAAAAGACTGCATGGACTAAAGAGTAGTTCAGTCAAAGAGTTGAAGACCCAGGCTCAACAAGATACACAGTGACTTCAAGAACAGGTTTAAGCATGACACAGATCATGAAGATGGGCAAGATTTTGATTTGTTGTTCACTGGGTCACTATGAATTGTATTTGACTTGTCCTCACCTAACAATTACTCACCCACAGAAGAGAGACTGAGGTAAACACTTCCCACCCCTTGAGTTTCAGGAACCAAGAATGTTGGTAAAACTCCCAACGGTTATCTAGTTGAGTGGCCTAGTCTGAGACTAAAGACCAAGCTTATGCCATGGCTAGGAACATCAAGAGAAATGCAGGCTTGTTTGTGTAGGAGATGGTACTTACACACCACTTAATGCAGACCCTGAGAACACTCTATTGGTTAGTTTTGAAAAAAGAGTGCTTCTTAGGAGTCAGGCAAAGAATAGCAAGTTTTTGAGACAGTGGCACAGGAAAAGGCCTGTTGCCAGCATATGCCTGGTACACAGATGACTGTGGCTAGAGTGTATTGATTCCATGAACAGCTAGCAACAGGTTTAACTCAAAGTTGCTCAATACAATGAATCTAGGGCCATATTTCTTTGTACAGAAAGCTGGGTAGTAATCTATGAATTAACTATGTGAACAGACCAAAGGGCAGTGCATAGGCAAGGTCCTGTAGGGTACTGTGTCCTATGGCAGGATATCTGGGAATACCTCCACACCTTCATGATTTTTTTTCATGCAGCAGTACTTCTTTTTCTGCTGAAGAACCAAAAAGCAGACACTGACATACAGTGTATATTAGTACATCCAGAAGAGAAGGCTCCCACTGCATTTACCAGAAAAACAAACATCCCACAGTGACTAGAAGATAGCCAGAGAGACAGCCGTAAAACATGACTGTGTAGCTATTGTACAAAATTGCCTATTTGTTTACACCAATGCCCAAGCATGTAAGTAATACAACATCTTCAATTCTGTTTTTCTTCCCTTTAGGAAGAAAAATGTCTTCTTAGAGTGGACTCACAGTGTTGATGCAGAATATTATAAAAGAAGTTGCTAGTCTGTGGACAACTTCCTTCTGAAGCACTGAAGATCTGCTTTAGAATGTGAAAACTCTAG